TAGATCCAGTGGAGAATATCATGAGTAGCCTAAGATTACTTGCATCTGTTGTTATTGTGACATAACTTGTACACATTTTACTAGTTAGACTTTTCCCAAACTATAATTCCTGACTACATGTATGAAATCAAGTGAAACCTTTTGAAATATGTCATTTCATTGTCTAAATCTCTCACAACACCAGGATGTAATTCATTCCTGTGATGGCAAAGCTGGATTTTCAGCAGCCATTACTCCAGCCTTTAGTGTCACATGATCCTTCAAAAATCATTGTAATATGCTGATTTGGTGCTCAAAAACATTCGTTTTTATCATCAATGCTGAAAACAGTTGTGCTGCTTTATATTTTTCTGAAAATAAGATACATTTTTTTAAGATTCTTTGATGAATACCCTAGTAAAAAGTAATACATTTTAAATACATTTATTTCATACTATAGTATAGTATGAAATAATTACAGTTCAAATCTATTAACATGTTTACTGACATAATGCTCAAGACTTACTGATATAAAAATGATAATTAAACTTTATATTAGTGCTGTCAAACGATTAATCTGTTAGCAAGACAAATTAACTATAATTGCCTTTTGTCTTATGGGTAATTAGCTGTAAATTCGAGGCACAGGTAGCTTTTAGTCTTTTGCTCATCACCACTCACCTCCACACCAAGACAAACACAGTGGAAAGGGAGGGAGTGCTTCACTTCTGCGGCTCTCTGCCTGATGCGCATGTGCCGATCAGACCTGGTTCTTGACAGCTATAGAAGGGTGGGCTGGCAGACATGTGGGTGGGCATTTTTTCTGTTGCAGGTCGGGGGGTTATATTGCAAGGGGAAATATATTTATACTGAAAGTAAAATATAATTATATTGCAAGTCTAGATATTTATACTGTTGATATTGCTATATTAACTATATTAACTATAGGCTGTTATATGTACACTGGAAAAAAAGCTTTCATGGGCAGCCTAGAATATCATGCACTTTCACAACAAAATAAACTTTTTTTTCTTTATTGAATAATAATAATAATAAAAACCTCTTTGTTCTCTTTCTCTGTATCATTGTTTCTACACTGGTGATTTTTTCAACTAACTTTTTTATTTATACCAAACAAGGCCATAATCATATCTAGAACATTAGGGGGACTATTGTTTTGAGGAAAATATTAAGACCAGACCACTATGGTAATGGTAAAGGAAATAAATAAATTAATATAAAATAAAATAAAATAAAAAGATTTTTTTTGTAAAGTACTCAATCTGAACTGCAAATAATAGGCTATTTTTATTTTAAAATATGCACCCATTCAATTTCAGTTGTATTCCTAATATGTTGAATGTAATGTAATGCAAGACAATGCTATTGTCGTCACAATAATTATGAATTACAGACAAATATTATGAATTCGACAAAAAAGAAAGAAAGTCGAATAGTTTGCATCACTGGATAATACGGTCGAGCCGACTGTTGCTATAGTAAGTAATTCATACATTCAACATTAACAGCAAGTCAAAAGGGGTAAGCTTTCAACTGTATAGCCTACATGCATTTTAGACGTTTATAGGCTATGCTCGTGCCAAGTCCATGCAATGAACGCACGTTATTGAATGATGTTTTTTTTCTTGTAGAACATTAAAACTGCTCAGGTAATTTCAGTGGTAGGCTATGATACATATTCGTGTATTAAACTCCTCATAACTCGCAAACTCACACAAATATTTCTGCCCGTTTTCGCTCGTTGTCAGCCTCTGCTTTTCTGCAACAGACTGAAGCCTCCGCGTGAATTCAGCGCCTTGCATTCAGCTAATAAAAGAAAAATGCTGCAATTTTCTGGAGTTATTTTATGATTGTTTGGGCAGTCTCAAGCTATAGCTTAAACTTCTCAAAATATAGTCCGCTTTAGATTAGTTTTAATCAATTCTAATTCTGATTGGGTGGGCAAGACAGTCATTTGGGTGGGCTCAGCTATTATTATTATTATTATTGTTATACTTTATTCTCAAATTAATAATGTTAACAACATCAGCATTGCGTGACTATGAGTATAGTGTGTATTAGCATGTAGATTTAAATTTCTGTACAGTCATTGTCATACCATTCGAATTTTATATTAAGAAATTATTTTAACCCAAAAAGAAAATTATGCTCCCTTCGAACTGGTTGTCTTTAAAATACAAATTTTGTGTAATCCCAGGCTATCTGTAATCAGAAGCACATTTAAAACTGGAATATAATTTAATTTCATTCACATGTGTTTCATAAACACATAATACTTTCTGTATTACAATCCGCCAAAAAAAAGATACATTTAATTATTCTGGCTGCTGTGAGAAAAGGCTATAAACGATCGGCCACCTGCAGGATCCTCACATGCAATAGCCTAGTAGCCGGGACAACTTCTTTATGTTTACAGACGTGACGTAATGACGCAGTGCCATGCTCGAATTTCCCGAGAAAACCTACCCGTACCACTCAAATTAGAAAACATTATTATAAGCTAACCGTTGTGAATTGGGCTAAAGTAAGGCAATAGTTTTGAACACTAGCTGGTTATGTACTTGCTCAAATATTGATTTTGGATCATTTTTAACCAAAAAAAGTTACGGACTGCAGCTTTAAGCATAAAATGTGTTTTAATGTCACTATTGATGAATATTGTTTGATCTTTGAATAATATCGGTCTTTAAATGCACAATATTTAAAGTATACTTGTAATAGTTCCACTTTAGCACAATCAAGTAAACTTCAGTACATCTTCAGTTGGACTTCAGCACTACTTCCACACAATTAAAGTGCATTAAGCACAAAATTAGTGGTTCCAGCAGACTTTAAGTAGGCTATACCAGTTTATTATGCCAAAAGTACAATTGCAGGGTATTTTTATTAAGTACACACAGTAAATATGTAAATGAATTTGTAGTATATTTAGCATGAAATAAATGTATTTCAAATACATTATAGTATATTTATTTTTCACTAGGGTACAAAGTTTAAAAGAACATTTATAAATCTTTTGTGATATTATAAATGCCTTTCTTCCTTTTGATCAATTCAATGCATCCTTGGTTAAGAAAAGTATTAATTTCTTTAAAACAACAACAACAACATGGATTTGATTCAAAAAAAAAATCCAATTAAATGCATTCAAAAGAGATGTCTAAATATAAAATTAAAATCAATTAGATTTGAACATGCTAAAACTGATCCAACTAATTGTTTTACGACAATGTAGGTTCTGCCTGTCTGTGCAAAACTCTCCGCCACAACGCTAGGGTGTTCTGGGTGGTTGCCAGGGCTTTAGTCGTGGTTGCTAAGGATGTTCTGACTGGCTTGTAGCATGTTGCTATGCATTTGCTAAGGTGTTCCAAGTGGTTGCTAGGTGGTTACTTACTGACCCAACACATGAGAGACTACCTCAAAGACGCTTCTTCAAAGATCCTTTATTCAGTGTGAATAAAAATGAAGGGCTTTTTTTCCACCGTTTTATAGTCCGCCAGGTGAAAATCGTAAATCTGATCACTTAGTCCAACTCTGCTGAACAAGCCACACAATTTGAGGCATCACTCAAATTCCTAACCATAAAAAAGAGGAATAATAACAGGAACTGTTGCTTACCGAGCACCACTAAATGCCAATTGTGGTCACCATGAACTACAGTATCAGCAGCAATAGTATCATTTACTAGTGTTTTGGACAACACATACACTCACTTTAGCAAGGGTCTTAACCGCAGTAAGAGCATTAAATAACCTCATCTCTGGCAGAATAGCCTTGAGCAGCAGTGGCTGCCTCACAGTTTAAGGCTGAGTGACCAACATTTGCACTGTGTAGAGTCACACATATCAGGACAGTTACCGTATCAAAGTACACACACACATAGGGGATCCTACCTCCACCCACAATTACACACACACACAAATGCACATCGACCTCCACACCACACTCTCTCCGCGAACAAATGCCTTCACTGTCAATTGCGGCCAGGTCTGCCGTAATTGAAAAGAACAGCCACGGGCCAGCCCACAGACAAGGCGCACCAAGCCAGGAGCCCGTCACTGACAGCCAGCCATCAATACCAATGACTGTTCCTTGAGGAGCAGATGACATCCACGACACCACCCATGCAACACCCCAGCGCACACATACAAACGCTTGCCTCCCGCCCCGTTGCTGTCCTTCCTCCGCCACTCGAGTCTCTGATTCCTACCCCAGTTTGTCACCACAGTAACTCCACTCACCGGGAAGCCTGTCATCGCTTCGGAGATGCACGTGCCATCGGCAAACGCATGCATACATGCTCGTACTCACTTACGCTCATGCATGCATGCCAAACGAGGGGGATCAAACTTTTTCGAGAGTGGAACAGTTGCCACTTAGAGACCTCTGCCTCCCTTCCCTGGCACACACTTTTCTCAGAGCGTGTCAATATTTAACCCAGAAAAAACACGTTTCTTGTTTAAAAAACTAAATCTTACTAAACGACCTATATAAAATCCTACACATACTTTGTGAACTCTGTTGAGACACTTCAAACCACTTTATGGAACATTCTATTGTATATAGCACTTAATGTAGATAGAAAATTGAAAAAAAAAAACAATGATATCACGCTTATATTTCACATCTTTAGCCACCTGCATTGTGCAATTGTTATAGAAGGCTGGACAGCATCAGACTTGTCATTTGGCGTAAGACTACAGTGACAGCTGAACAAGATGCACAGAGCAGAGACAAACAAGCAAGACAGAGGCATTCAAAGAAGAAAAGGAAAAAGAACAGTGAGAAAAAGCAAAGGAGAATAAAATATACACTGACCTGACCAGGAGCTGCAGAGCGACAGAAACTGTCTTCCTTATACAGTCCTCTCTGTCTGTGTGTGTGTGTGTGTGTGTGTGTGTGCGACTCCCTCCCCTCTCAGCTCCTCTCAGCTGCTCAGGGCAGTTCTCAGGAAATGAATGGGAGCTCACAGAGAACTGTTGTACTTGCAAATGACTTACCACGGTCACATGATCTGTTAAATGTAGGGTGGGCCGGTGGGTGGAGGCTTCATAAGCAAGAGAAGACAATATACTCTAAGCTTTAACAGCATGCATCGAATTACACGGGGCCCCTCGTGGGAGGTTTCCGACATGTCTCTGAGCCCAGGCAGTGGAGAAACGCTAGAGTACCTCCCCGTTTAAAGGGGAAGAGAGAAAAAGAGAGAGAGATGGGGAGATGGAGGGAGAGAAAGTAGGTATATTTCCTCACAAAATGTGCCCTATAAGTTTAGAATCTGACAATTAAAAAAGCTTAAAAGAGGAAAGCATGTAAACATTTGTGTTAATTAAATTAATGTTTTTAAAGTAAATCATTTATATATTATATTATATATTATATATTGTATATTATATTATATATTAATATAATGATTACATATTATTATCAAAACTGTCAAGCTGTATTACAATCTTACATTTAAAACCTCACTTGCAGTTTTCTTTTTGGCGATTAAGAGCAAAAATTAGATTTTGATGTACTGTAATATTTATCCCAAATTGAAAACATCAAAATTTTAGTTTATTATCCTACAGTAATTATCTGTAGACATTTAACATACAAAGAAATACCTTGAAATATTTTGTGTCTGTATTAAGCGGTTTCAGTAAGAAACCATCTGCTGAGAACGTAAATATAAAAATATAAATGCCAGCCACACGCAGCTCTTAATTGGCTCAATTTCTATTAGTCATCACACACTGCTCTCCTTTCGATTACGAATGCATCTCTACTGAAATTCAACAGAAGCCATTTATTTCTGTTCATGCAAGCATGCATAAGGGAATGTTGTGAAAGCTCAACCATGGTTTGTTGAAGAGGCAGCTACGGTTTTCAAAATGCAGATTCGCTCTTCTGGGAATCCTAATTAATGTATAGGAAACGGAGTCATCTCTGATAGACTTTGTGTTCTGCACACACACATACTGATGGGGTGGATAGTGATTTAAAGAATACTGTAACTGTATGCAATGGAGACTTAAATTTGGGACCCAATCTTTGACAATTAAAGGTTGTGCAGAGGCATCCTTAACAGTCCATTTCCTATATATAGTGATTTTAAATACTGAGGTGTAACACATCAAATATTTTGGCACTTGAGACATGCAGATGATATTTCTCAGATCTAAAAAGTAATGTAATATTGATTCCTGCAAAGGAGAACCCATGTCCGCTGTAACTGTGTGATAATTATACGACATATCAATACAAGATCATCATTGTGAATTACACGGGAGAAAACAAAGACTTGTATTCTTGTGTCTGACAAAATGGCCATTGAAATACCGCTCTGCTGATGCTTTTAATGCTGATTAGCCCTGATGCTTCTTTATGAAATGCTATACCACCCAGCTGCAGCCTCTGACAAGAGTGGCAATTTCCCCAGCAATAATGACATCGAGGAAGCAGTCCCGCTCTGCCCGCACACCCAGCCCAGCCTGGCACACAAAGGGTCCTGGCATGTCTTGTAAAGGGCTGAACTGGAATCAGGCGTTCCAGTGGGAGGGTGAGCCGTGTATGGAATTCTGCCAGGGAACATGGCCCCATCTTAGCTCCCCTGCAAAGAGGAGAGAGAGAAAGGAAGACAGAAAAAGAGTGAACACCCTTGATTACAGCTGTGGCACGGAAAGGACCCAAGGCGATTAGGTGGGCTCCAATGTCCGTGTTTACCATGGTTAACTACATAGCAGGCAAACAGTTGGTGTAAGGTGATAAGATTAACCAAACCCATGTAGGCCAATATATACACATTTACACTTCAACCATAAATTACATGCCAACAAAGAATCCGGTTCCATCTGCCTGGTCCAAAGTATAGACGTGACTGTCATCCCTCCAGCAATCCTAATTTATTTCAGCATTAGAAAGGACATGTCTACAGGGTCCATTTTAAAGGGATAGTTTGTCAATATATTAATTCTCATGATGCTCAAACCTGATTGACTTTCTCTCTTGTGTGAAACACAAAAGGAGATGTTTAGCAGACTATCCAAGCTGCTCTTTTCTATCCAATGGACGTGAATGGTAACCATGACTGCCCCTGGTCCACATGGCTTAAAATTTCAGTTTTACACATTAAATAATAGGATTAAAATGGCATGAGAGATTTTGTTTTGTATTTTCGTAAACCTTTTAACATTTAGACAGCTTTGACTGTGACAGTTTGATAAGAAAAACTTACAAACTGATCAAAACAATAACTCCAATGTCCTAGTGTGAAGAACTAGCGTTTGATGAGGGCAATGGTGGGCCATCAACAAACAAAGTACTTAGCGATCTACGGCAGAGCATGGAAACTGGGAAATGTGTTGATGGCGCATTAGCCATACAGCTTTCCCGGCTGCATAAGAGACCCGGTCACTGAGCAACAAATGCGTCTCCCACTGGGTAACTCACCGCTGTCTGTGAGCCTGCCCTGCACGTTCTGCACAGAACAAGAAAAGGGATCACTTCACAGCATTTCACTGTCAAATTTGACTGGAATATAAATATCACGACATTTTGAGCACGTCCTTTACAGCTGTAATTGAGGACTGTCACTACGATAATAGATTTGTGTACTGACTAAGAGTCTATTTATTGTTCAATTTCAAATTAAATCAATCACAAAGAGATTCAAAGTGAAATTAAATTATATGTCTGGATTAGAAATCAGATTACACAGAGGTAGGTTCAGCCCCTGCAGTAAATTTAGAAGCTAATTGAAAATTATATTCCTGAAAGGTTATTATATTCTTTGAATTTTAATACGATCAAACTCCAACGATGCATGGACATGGCTCTTTCCCAGTTTTAGACTCTGAATCAACTTACAAACAAGTAGCATGATATTATCAAACAAATAAAAAACAAATGAAAAATCAAATATATGAAAAATTGCTAATTGTACAGTACCATCATACCATATTATCAACAAATTATTTTCATTCATATAAGAAATTCCTAAATGAATCATGAGAAAACTGGCAAAATTATATTTTAATGTAAGATTCATCATCTGTTCCATGTTCAACATTAAGTTAATTGAGAATAAGCAGTTTCTAGTTGAATACAAATTAAAGAATCTGGTTTGCTTCAGTTATTAAAACAATATGTGAATTTTGTGGGTGAGGTCATGCTCAGAGGTCCACAGCTCAAATCATCCAGAAGATCTGAGAAAGACAAGTCTGTTGTGGCAGGGTGTTCCTCCATGTTGTCTGGTCACTTCATTTGTATAGGCTCTGATCTCTTAAGTGTGATGAACGGTTTGCTACAATTCTGGGAGGAACCTTGTGTTTCCTCAATGGCATGCCAGTTCAAATCAAGTTTAGTCTCAAATGTTTGAAGATTCCTCTTTTTAGGCTCTATAACACAAATACATATACATACATTTGAAATGATTTTGAAATAGATGAGGCCAGCATGACTATTATTATTGCTCACTGTTTGGGTTATGGATCTGTTTTAAAATAAAGTGAATAATGCAAATGTAAATGATGCTTCAAATGAAGTAGTGTTTAAAGGAGAGGTGTGCAGCTTCTTTTCAAAGTAATCGGACTGATGATTTTAGCCTGTCAGAGGATAATCCAAGTGAAAAATCCTGCATGCTTACACTGAAGGGGGGAGCTGAGCCATATCTAGGGACCAGAAAATCATAGAGACTTGTGCCTTTTTTGACTTGGTCCAGTTAGCAACCTCCCAGAACAGCCTAGCAACCACTCATGACACCTTAGCAACCGCATAGCAATGGCATGGCAACCACTCACAACACCCTATAGCCAAGAACCACTCACATTTTTTTTTGTTTTTTTCTTTCAGAAAATCTAGACATTCAGTTCTTTCAAATGTTACAGAAGGTTTACTGTGAAATTTCCACCAATTGTCGACAAGAGAAGGCCACGAAAGGACCACAGACCATAGAAGGACTTTAAAAACGAGATCAGGGACTTAGGGTCAATGGTTTTATTTCATTAACTAGTATAAAGACATGTAAAATAATCTCTGTGTAAAGTCTGTGCTGAACCAGGCAGCCTTTTTCTGGCTAACAAGCGTATTATTCCAGTAAATGTTCTTCAGTGTGAAGTTCAGAAGCACATGACATGAGCATGCTTGGGAGCCAGGGCTCTTCAGGAGGCTGTGTTTGTGTGTGTGTGTGTGTGTGTGTGTCCACCTGCACAGACCCTGGCTGTAAAGATGGGGCTCTGGCTGGTGTGGCTACAGGGTCTGAATCGGGTCTGCATCTATGTGCAGTGGCCAAGGTCAGCACATCACCGCAGGGCAGAAGCAGAGGCAGGGGCAGGAGCGGGGGCGGCTGCCTAAACACCACCACTACCTCTTCTGTGTCCAATAGCAACTGCATCTGCAGAAGGAAGAAGTGTGCACTCTGTGGGCAACTGCCAACACCGGCACACACAAGCACACACACTAAAACATATAGATCACTGCTGATGTTTGTGGACATGCACAAACACACAAAACTACTGGAGAAATGGAGCTTTGTAAAGGACAGCTGTGAAAGTATCAAGCGAGAGCGATGTGTTCTCAGACAGCAAGGCTGAGTATTATGTGATCTCCACTCAGATCCATTACCTGGATCATTTTCCCTCACTGGGTCTGACTTAGCAAAGGCGGGGCTGACATTTAACCCCCAGCAAACTGCTACCAAAAGTTACCTGAGAATGAGCGATGGGCGTAGATACGACTACCCAACTTCGTTAATAAATAATTATACAGTCATTCACACATTTTCCTCTACTTTTTGGAATTTCACAGGCAAATTAATTTAGCTAGAAAGAGTTGAGGTAAATGCTTTGTTCCAAAACCTATTGGACTGTCCATGAGGCAGTATTTTAAGGCATCACAGTAATGCTCACTATCTTTTATTGTCCTAAAAGGTAAACAGCGCAATTACGTCTCCCAAGATAACTTGTTTTAGTCATATTCTAAGACAGGATCACTTATGCTCTCCACAGAGAAGGCATTTCCAGAATGTACTGCGACGGACTTAAAAATCCAAGATGACAACCGAAGTGAGAGACACATACTGTATATAGGCCTATAGTGATATTTCATTCAATACCAAAGGTACGGTGACTGTGAAATTTTCACAGGCAAAAAAAGGTCCTTCATCTTGTGTCAATAGCGTAACGA